ACGTCAGTCCGAGTTGCTGCTCTCTACAGTTTTCGTGTCCACTCTCAACTACGACCGCAATATTTTCTTTATTGCGTGCAGGATGCTGAATGCTGGATATCAAGATAGGTGGAATAATGCTAACCAAAAGTTGAGCCAAGAGCGAAGCACATTCCTTACAGAAGGTGAATTTTCATAACAAAGCTGAACGAATTGTAAACGTTGTTCAGGCGTAAGTCTTTCCATGATGAAATGCCAAACAATACGGAACAAAAATAGCCTGACAGCTTAACGCAATCCACGTGTGATCTGGCAACAAAACGCTAATGAAGTAAATGGNTTCTTGCACAAGCTGTATTTTGTACACTTTCAATTTAAGATCACGACCTAAAATGCACCAAGCCGTTCCATACGTCAGTCCGAGTTGCTGCTCTCCACAGTTTTCGTGTCCACTCTAAACTTCGACCGCTATATTTTCTTCATTGCGTGCAGGACGTGGTCCTGCTGAATGCTGGATATCAAGATAGGTGGGATAATGCTAACCAAAAGTTAAGCCAAGAGCGAAGCACATTCCTTACAGAAGGTGAATTTTCATAATAAAGCTGAACGAATTGTAAACGTTGTTCAGGCGTAAGTCTTTCCATGATGAAATGCCAAACAATACGAAACAAAAATAGCCTGACAGCTTAACGCAATCCACGTGTGATCTGGCAACAAAACGCTAATGAAGTAAATGGCTAAAGATTGACCATGCTTTGGTTTCTTTTTCATGGGAGAACATTTTTTTAATGTGGTGGGCTCTAAACCCTACTCACAAATGTAGCGGAATTCGCTTTCTTACTTTAGCTCGTCTCTAAACGGACGTAAGCTCCTTGAACCATACATATGTTAAACGATTTAGCCAAGTTCTACGAAAAATTGACATCCAACTTAGGCCATTCGGTAGTAATTGCGGCCAACCGCCCTTCGTTTCAGGCCTTGAAGCAAAACATCGTGCGTGTCATTCGCCAGTCATCAGTCGAAATTTTCTAACGTGTCATCGAAAATTGGACTCAGCGGATGGACCACCCGAGACGTAGCCGTGGGAAACATTTATAAGAGATAGTCTTCGAAAAATAAGTGCCAAAGAATGTTATTTCAAATAATATTGGTTGTATGCACTAACTCGTGCGGATTTTTTTTCGAAAGTTAAGACTTTATTGTAAAAAAAATTGTTATACATTTAATGTTCAAAGTATTGCCCATCGGAAGCTACGATGTTTGCCCATCTTTATGGCAGTTTGTGGATCCCATCCTGAAAGAACTTCTCCGGCTTGGAGGTCAAGAAGGAATCTAGCCAATTTCTGATACATTATTCTGAAATGAAGCGTACTTCGGTGAGGCCATTCTGCATTGATCTGAACAAGTGGTAATCGGAAGGTGCTATGTCTGGGCAATAAGCCGGGTGAGGTAAAACTTCCCACCCACAGTTTTCCAAATAGTTTTTAACTGGCCTTGCAATATGTGGCCGAGCGTTTTTCCGCAATGGCCTTTTTCAAACGAATCAATTGTTTTCGGTAGAGGGCCGCATTGATCGTTTGACCCGATTTCAATAGCTCATAATAGAGCACATCCTTGTGGTCCCACCAAATACGTAGCATAACCTTGGCACCATGGGTATACGGCTTTGCCGTGGATGTAGATGGTTGGCCGGGCTTCACAAACGATCTCTTGCGATTTGGGTTATCATAATGAATCCATTTTTTACCGCCAGTGACAATCCGATGCAAAAATGACTTCTTTTGGTGGCGTTGAAGCAACATTTTCATGCACATGTAGAATCGAATTTGGACGTCTCTTGGCTTTAATTCATAACGACCCCGATTCCCAAGCTTCTGAACGAATCCTAATGATTTTAATCATCTGGAAACGGTTGCTTGATCAACTCCTAATACTTTTGCAAATTCTTCTCGCGTCTGGCATGCGTCTGCGTCGAGCAATGTCTCCAATTCTTCGGCTTGAAATTTGTTTGGCTCTTCGGGTCGTTTTCCGTCGCCTAAGTCGAAATTGCCACTTTTAAACCGTGCGAAACACTTTTGGCACGTTTGCTCACGTCCAGTAAAAGACAATGGCTTTCGGTAGTACTTTTCTTCATGTTAAAGTAATGAAGAAGAACTCCCCGCAAAAACACTTTATCTGGTACAAATTTCGACGTTTTCAAATTAATGAAACAAACGGTTGTTCACGCTAAAACAAATCACATCTAGTGAAAACGACGCGAAATAACAGTACCTTTGAAATATAGCCATAGATAAACACGACAACACAACGCAAAATAATACTAGTAGAGCCCTCTCTTAGAAAACCGCACGAATTAATGCATTCATATCCAATTCCCATCATATTTAAATTTTTATGTTCATTTCTTAAAAAAAAATAGGGAACCTAGAAATGGATCACCCTTTATAAAATAAATGAATATATGAGTGAGCAAAAGCATTATTCACTAGATTGATTCCGATCAGGCTCAAGGTTTATAGTAAGAAGGTTACGACAAGATTGAGTCATATGTTTAATGACGAAATTGGTTCAATTTTGTGGGTTGCCGAAAATTTTAAAATTAATTTGCATAATTTTATCTATAAAAGAGCGCAGCATTTTGACTATAAAACATTGTTGCATAGAAATTTTTAAATTTTTTAAATTAATAACAACTACAATCAAAACGATCTGAATAGATTTATTTCGAACAAATGTATTTCAATTTTCAAAAAATATCATATTATGAATATTATTATAATTTTTTTGGCAGGTAATATGAATGTCATGAGTAAATAATGTCAAAAACGAGTAAAATTAACGTAATTCTAAAGGAAAATACAGTATTTCTTAAAATTATCTTTGTTTGCTAAAAAAGTTTTTGGGAGATGGGTGATTCCTATATTGTGGAAAAAACATGCCCAAAAATTCAAAGCGGTGAAAAAGGGTGTATTTCGATGTTGTGGACAAAAATTTGAAAAAAAGTAATTGTGTGAATGATTTATTGTATATAAAGAAAAAGGTTCGTTCGGTTTTTTATTGATGTTTCAAAATATGATAACTTTGTGTACATTTGTCCGATTTAAATCAAATATGCGCCGTTTTGTTCGTAAACTTGTTGCCAACGAGATGCCAACTTCATTATACCCCTCTCGTAGCAGGCTGCGTCCCTATTGGCAAAAAGCTCGGAGAGCCTGTTTTCACAGGCCTCTCTTGAGGCCAACTTCTCACCATTAAGCGCGTTCGCCATAGACAGGGAAAAAAGGTAGTCACTTGGTACCAGGTCCGGACTCTAAGGTGGGTGCATTAGGACTCCCATCCGAGCTCCTGGAGCTTCTGGCGCGTTACCAAAGACGTTGCTTGGCTTGGCATTGTCCTGATAGAACACAATTCGGCCTCTGTTGATCAAAGATGGCCTCTTCTGGTCCATTTGTAGAGAGGGCCGAATTGAGCGTTTGGCCATAGGGGAGCTGCTCGTAGTTGATGATTCCTTGCCAATCCCATCAAACACACAGCAAAACCTTCTTGGCCACCGCCTGGGCCGCTTCCCCGAGCTTTGTCCACAACCGTTTGCGCTCGATGTTGTCGTAAGTGACCCATTTTTCATTGCTAGTCACAATCTGCTTCAGAAACGTATCGATTTTGTTGCTACTCAGCAGCGATTCGCAAATGGAAATTCGGTCCATGATGTTTTTATTTTTTGCGTTAGTTCTTGTGGCACCCAAACATCGAGCTTCTTTTTGAATCCAAGTTTATGCAAATGGCTCCAAATGGTTTTCTGACTTATCATTAGTTCCTCAGCAATTAAATAAATGCTCAAGTAACAGTCCGTTTCCACTATTTCCATGATTTTATCGCAATTTTCGAGGTCAGGCCTACCGACGCATGGTGCATCTTTGACATCGAAATTACTGGAACGGAACCTAGCAGACCACTTTTGTGCTACACGTTCGTTTATAGTATCGGGCTCATAAACTAAATTAAATTTTTCAGTCACTTTGGCTGCTTTTTCGCCTTGATCGATGAAAAATTGTAAAATAGAGCGAATTTTCTCTTTGCTGGTGTCCATAATTGGCGAGCGCCACAACGTACTGAGTCAATCAATCGAAAAACTTTCAAAGACAAACTTTTGGCGCGAATAAACACGTTTTTAGCGCCGTTTAGTATGACATGATGCGACACGTAACAACAGTACTATGGACGCCATCTCTAAGATAAAAACAGGTATTTACGTATTAACGCCACCGCGATAGTACCTTCGTGTAAAGTTCTTATTCACATTTGGTGGTGTTCGGCCACCTGGGCCCTGGTTTGATCAAAACAACCCACGCCTTGCACCTTGCACCTTAGTTTGTTGTTTGCTAACTTTTGCGCCATTTTTTACTAAAAAAAATTGCCATATCTGTGACTGCGGTGGCCCTGGTACGTGAGTGCAAAAACAAATATTGTATGATTTGGGTTTTCTTCTGTATAACAAAATTATTTGAAGAAAAAAATTATTTCTTTATATTATATAAATATTTAATCCCGCCCACTGTGTATATATATGACGAAGTTGGTGCGGTGACGTCAAGGGCTGTCGTAACCTTGTATTCTATAAACCTGGGTATAAACCTTGGATCAGGCCATGACACAAAAGGAAGGTAGTTTCACTCAATATAAAATAGACAGGAAAAGATTTTTTGACGTTACAAATGTTAATTTCATTTCAACTTCAAGATATAGCCACTTTAAAAATATTTCCTGTATTTTTTTTATACAAAAATGTTAAGCTTCCTGAAAATAATTTTACTTTCATTAGATTTTAGAAAATACAGTGCAAAGGCTTTGCTATTTTCAAGAGTACGTTTTTTTCATTATTTTTTGTTTACATTGAAAAATTTTGTATTTTTTGTGCTAATTTTTTTTTTTTAATTTTATTAAGCTGAAAACTTTTTTTTTTTAATGGACTGGTAGCACGAAAATGAAGCAAAATTTCAAAAAGTCTTTTTATGTCAGATGCTTAATATTTTTGAAAAAAAAAATTCGAGTGAAACTAACTGGTTTTTTGTATCATGGATCAGGCTCAGGTGGCTTGATTTTGCATGTGAGTGCTTTTGACTTTATATTATTTCATATAATTATGTATATTTTCTGCATACTTTCCAAATAAATTGAGGAAAACGAAATAGTTTTTTGAAATCTGATAAATTTGTGGTACATTTTTATTTTCAAAACAATTAAATCAAACTGCGAAAAAAGTCTGCATTGAGAAACTTCCACGCAGTGGGCAACTAAGGCAACAAACAAACCAAATAACTTCGTCGCCATAGGTAACGAAAATCATAACAAAATGTTGATGTTGAATACATTAATTATTCACCTACGACAGGTTCGAAAGAGAACATCGAAAGTTTTGCAAGCAAAAAAGATATTGATTAATGGATGCCACTAAGCAGCTTGGTATCGGGTGAGCAATTGTATAAAAAAAAATTGTATAATTTATTTGAAATACATACGAGTATATACATACCACATATGTATACATAACAGAAAGGAGCAGGCGAGAACAGAGCATATGGCGCGTCGAAATTTCCAGAAAAAATGGTCCAAACTCGCCGATGAAAAGTTGAATAAATTCTACAATCAAAATGAGATCAACCAGCAGCTGAAAAGTACACTAAGAAAACAAGGTTAGTCTGATATCAACACACGGACAAATGATTCCGTGATTATATGATTATACATATGTATGTACGTATGTGTGTATTTATTTTTAAAAAAATTTTCCATCGCACCAACCAGATCTCTGCCCATACGTATACACCGGTAAGGGAGATTCATATTTCCTATCACCGGATATGTACAATTCGTTGCTAGCGAAATGTCGCTGCGGTCGTAAGCGTAGTGAGACACATATTTTGAAATGCCTACAAAAAGCAGAAAATTCGAACAGTCAAACAGCCGCGGCCGCAATCGCAGTCAATGATGCAGATCACGGTCAAACCGCACGAAATGAAGGTGAAACTATCAGAAGCTTGAGCAAGAAACCTGCCGATGTTTTGTCATATCCAAAAACCTCAAATTGTAAGTACGTGTGACGGTTAGTAGTTTTGAATTATTAAAAAAAATTCTTCAAAAAAAATTCACAGCATTAATTGGTTGGCAAAAGCGTCCTTCAAGCTACAAGCAATGGGAGAATTCTATGAGACACATCTCGCCAATCGCCACCATGACTCAGCCACGTCTCACAGCCACATCATTTCATATTCTACATATCGCCTAGAATGGACCCTATAATTGTTTTAATTGCGGAAATTATAATAACGGCATTTTAGATATGTATTTATTCAATAATCTAATTATTGTGAAATATATTTAGCGGTTTTAAAATTTATTAAAAGTAGATTTTCATTCAATCTCCATTCAAAGAGTTGGTATATAAAAGACAAATTTTCCGAAAACTGTGTCTCAGCTGGGAACAACTCTTGTTAAACACTTATTTTGAACGCCTATAATTAACCTGCTTTTCACTTTTTCTCAACTGCGCATCCAGTCTTCAATAACTCAATTTTTCATAGAAAACTTTATGCCTCAAAAGTAAAATCAGGCGACTTAATATTTTAATTTAAATGTAATTGACTGTTGCATCGTGTATTCTTCGCTTCTGATGAAATTATCTCAGAAAAATTTCCCTCACAATGCGTAACAAGCTTACTCATCCCGCACGCATTTCCTCTAATTTTAAGTCTTAACGAGAAACGTTACCCAACGGACATTTATGATGAGAAATAAGCAGAAAAAATTCAGAAAGACCGTAGTCATAATTTAAGGCAGGCTTGTGGCACTTGATTGATACCAACAGTAGTGGCGGTGCTAATTTTAGCCAAGTTTTTTTCATTTTTAGGATAATTAAAAAAAAATTCCATTACATTCACACGAGAGATAATTAAAACGTGAAGTGAAATTTAATTCAGGCGCTCATTTCAGTGAAACCATACTTAATATCATAGTTTATATAAACTAATTTTCATGTCTTCAATATAAAAACATAAAACTTATTTATAATATTTTTAATTTAATTTCTATCATTGTCGCATGGAAGATTTTTTCCATCAAGGTTTTTAAGTTTATACACGTATTTTTTATGTAAATATATTACTTTTTGTATCCTCTTATTTTATTACATGCAGCCTAATTTATTTCCTTTATTTTTGATTATATTTGATTTTACTCCGTTTTATTATTTATTTTTAAATTATTTCTATATTTGTTTTTTTTTTATTTTTATTTTATTTTATTTTATTTTATTTTATTTTATTTTATTTTACGTATACATAAGCACTTTAATTTTAATTAGTATGTCTAGTGAGCGTAGGTCTGTTATTTTAAATTTTATTTATCGCCATCATAAAAATCGTAATAAACACTTCTCAGCTCAGCTGGCTCAAGTTTTAGTCAAGAGTTTTTTTACGGGGAATAACATAAGCAGAACTGAGCTTTTAGATTACTGCTAGTTTCTCATTAATTTTCAGTTTCTCAGATGAGATATAGATGATGAGATGATAGAGAACACCGCAAATATTTGCATTTACGTATTATCTCTTTACCCGTTTTTTTCCTACAAATGACCGTTAAGTATCGTTAAAACATCTTACCAATTTGCTCTTCACAGCGGATGTTACTTATAGCTGTTGGCGTAGTGAGCAGTGAAGCAGTTTAGCAACGCTGTTGGCAGTGTAAACAGTTTACTAAAATACTGCAAAAATTGTTAATAATTGAAATAATTTAAATAAAAACACAAAGATGCTAATAAAAAGATTATGTTGTTGTGCAGGTGTGTCTTGGATATTTAAATTATTAATTTATTTTGCTTTTCATAAATTATAATAAAATCTTTTGAAATCACAGCGCTTACAATATTCACCAATTGTGTTTTTGGCGCGCCAGCAGCTAATAAGACACAACGACTCAAACGTCAAATCTTCTCCAACGATTTTAATTTCAATAATAACAACAACAATCCTTTCTTCAGGCCAACGGCGAATAGTTTTGAACCTAATCCCTTTGCGCGTCCACAATGGGGTCGTCCCGGTCCTGGGCAGCCGCTAATATTCAGCAATGGTGGTAATAGACAAAGCCCTACCATTACATCAACAACAACAACAACAACACCGCCAACATCTAACGGCGATGCGAATGTTGTTTTCATAAACAATCAACCAATTGTTGCTACCATACCACCTTTTACAGCGCCTACTACGGCTACACCGCAGTTTTTGGATTGCTTTGGCAATTGTCCCACCACCTCTGAATATAATCCAATCTGTGCGAGTAATCAACAACAATATCAGAATCCGCAAAAATTCGATTGTGCGCGCCGCTGTGGGGCAGGTGAGTCAATTTGCAAATGTATTAGGGTGGTTTTTTGCATGTGATTTTAAAGGGAATTTTTTCTTAATTACATTTAGGTTGATATAATTAAAAAGTTTTCTTCTTAATGAGCTGAATCTAATTTAACTTGAATGTCAATTTTTTTAATTGATTTATATTGTGGGCAAAAAGTAAGGTGAATTTGTTTATAAAATTAAAAACTTTATTTATTCTTTTATCTCATTTTATGTCAAATAGTCACGTTCTGGTATGGGCTTCAGAGTGCGCGCCCATTCACGTTTAATATCCTCAATCGACCCAAAACAGTGTTCTCGAAGTGGTCTCTTGAGTTTTTGGAAGAGTCAGAAGTCACATGGTGCTAAGTCCGGCGAATACGGTGGTTGAGGAACGATATTCGTGGAATTTGTAACGAAATGGTCACGAAGAATGAGTGCTGCATCATCGTGATGCAAGAATCAAGAATTGTTGGTCCATAATTCTGCTCTTTTTTGCGTATTGCTTCACGCAAACGACGCATAACGCTTAAATAAAATTCCTTATTTACCGTTTGACCAGGCGGAAGGAATTCATAGTGCACCACACCACGAAAATCGAACATGACCTTGATATTTGAGCGACTTTGACGTGATTTTTCGGTCTTGTCTCATCTTTGGCACGATATAAAAGCACAATATGGGGACAACATTTGATGAAGAGTTGAATGAAATATAGTATAGGTTAAGGCGTTGGCAGAGTCGTGAAGTAAACCATCAGCAAGAAAGTGTTTTCACGGTAGTCACGATAACTTTTTCAATTTTTATGTGAAATCAAAAATCCAATTTTTTTCTTAAAGTAGGTGAATTTTGCTTTTCCCTGAACGAAGAAAAGTTAAAAAAATTAAAATGAACTTTTGCATAAAATTTAGCCCCATATTGGCTTGTAAAATGTGTTGAAATCAAAGATTAAATAAATCCTTCATTGAGGCACTACAAAAACATGCTTAAAAGAAGTGTGGAAAATTTGAGCTCGATCCTTTCAATGGTCGTTGAGAAATTTTGATTACCGGTTTCGATGCAGTGGTTTTAAGAAAAACGCGTTTAAAGTTTCGCCATCGGTCAAGCCATGACAAAGACGGCGGGTTATAAAACTCTCTAATTTCTACAGTTTCGTCTCGATTGACTTGAAACTTAGGGAAAATATTCCTGACACTTTGTACTTTTAAACAAAAAATTATTAAAAAAATTAATTTTTTCAAGTTTCAAGACCTATGTATTCCCTTAAGTCTTTGTACCACTTACACACGTTCTTCTGCGGCATATTAGGTCGCCAAAGGCTTTCTGTAGCATCCTCAACGTTTCAGCAGCCGAAAACTCTTTCCGCAAACAAAATTTGTACTTTTATACAAAAATTATTAACGAACCTATCAGTTCCTTTTTAAAAGGTAAACTAAAGCAAATGCAGAGTCGCGAGAAATATGTGCAAAAATTGTGACGCTGAACTTACAAAGTTTTTCTATCGGTTAGAAGACCGGATTCTGGGCTGATAGTAGGCCTTTTAGCGTCGCATGCTTTTAATTTAAATCTAATTTAGGAAAGCAAACGAAAGGAATATGTCCAGAGAGTGGAGCACCGAAGGTGTGAAAATCCAACACTCGCCAGCCAAAAGCTATCTTTACTCGGCGTAGAAAGGCTACAAGATATTCAATCGGCAATGCCTAAAATGGCTACTTCAATTAGCAATAAGAACAGTAATATTCTTCACACTAGAGGCACAATAAAAAGTGTTGCAATGCAGTTTGGTATGTATGTAGTGTTCCTGCTAACACTACGGGCGAAATATCTTGTATGCGAGATTCAATGGGTCAGCCTAAAATGTTTCGACCCACCATAGTATTCCTATATGAACTATATATATGTATGTACGAATTTGTAAAGCATTTAAAATTGTTTACGATTAAAAGTACGCATATTTCCAAGAACACACACACACATACATATTCATTTAAGTACATATGTATGTTTGAATTTACATAGTAGTGAGTAAGACCTTCAGTGAAGTTTATATATATATATATATATATATATTGTATATGAACCTGTTACATTAGCCACCAACTAAGCATCCTACCTTGAAAAGTACTCGTATAAAGTAATGTCATTGGAATTGTACTTTTGAGCAGCACGTTTTTAACCTTCTTCACTTACCTTCATTTAAGACACATTCAATAACACATCAATGCATACATAATATAATATATATGTATATAAGTTCATAACAACAATTTTTATAAATACTTATTTTTATTTGCAGATATCCAAATTGTACGTCGTGGCGCCTGTGAAGGTCTATTCCCAATGTCACGTGGATGAATTAATACAAATTCCAGTCTCTGACGGAGCAAATGCACTGAGTTACCAAAACAAATTCGCTCTTACATATTCGTTTATATATTAACTAGATAAGTACATATAGAATATATACATATGTACAAGTATATACATATGTTCCCTTTGGACGAGTTTATCAGTTGAAATTTAGAAATTTTAGTTCTCTTCTTCTTCTTTTTTTTTCATTCTCTTTCGTTAGCTAGTAGTCAATATATATGTGATACCAGTTTTCTTCTACATTTATACACATACACATATGAAGTATTGATTTTTTAATTAATGAATTAATTTTTATTTTCGAATTTATGAAACTTGTTTTTGTTATTAAAATCACAAACACATGTATTTATGTACATTACTACATATGTAGATAATATAAGCCGGCAAGTATGTATGTATATAAATATTTGAAAAATCTCTTAAAAATGTTGAAAAAATAAACAAATAACAAAACCACGAAANTACGCCAACGCAATTATTGAAGAATGTCAAATAGTCACGTTCTGATATGGGGTTCAGAGTGCGCGCCCATTCACGTTTAATATCCTCAATCGTCCCAAAACAGTGTTCTCGAAGTGGTCTCTTGAGTTTTTGGAAGAGTCAGAAGTCACATGGTGCTAAGTCCGACGAATATGTTGATTGAGGTACGATATTCGGGGAATTTGTAGCGAAATGGTCACGAAGAATGAGTGCTGCATTATCGTGATGCAAAAACCAAGAATTGGTGGTCCATAATTCTGCTCTTTTTTGCGTATTGCTTCACGCAAACGACGCATAACGCTTAAATAGTATTCCCTATATACCATTTGACCAGGCGGAAGGAATTCATAGTGCACCACACCACGAAAATCGAAGAAAACAGTCAACATGACCTTGATTTTTGAGCGACTTTGACGTGATTTTTCGGTCTTGCCTCATCTTTGGCACGATATTCTTTTAAGAGTTTACATGAGACTTTTTTCAATTTTCAAGACCTATGTAACCCCTTAAGCCTTTGTACCACTTACACACGTTTGGGTCCCCAAAGGCTTTCTGTAGCATCCTAAACGTTTCAGCAGCCGAAAACTCTTTCCGCAAACAAAATTTGTACTTTTATACAAAAATTATTAACGAACCTATCAGTTCCTTTTTAAAAAGTAAAATAAAGGAAATGTTAGAAGTAGCATTCCTTCGTCAAGCTAATAGACACTGAGACTAATCCAACGCTACTCTGCGAAAAGTATGTGCAACAATTGTGACGCCGAATTTACAAAGTTTTTACTATCGGTTAGAAGACTGGATACTAGACTGCTAGTAGACCTTTTGGCGGCGCATGCTTTTAATTTAGATTTAATTTAGCAAAACAAACGAAAGGAATATGTCTAGAGACCAGCCAAAAGCTATCTTTACTCGGCGTAGAAAGGCTACAAGATATTCAATCGGCAATGCCTAAAATGGCTACTTCAATTAGCAATAAGAACAGTAATATTCTTCACACTAGAGGCACAATAAAGATTGTTGCAATGCAGTTTGGTATGTATGTAGTGTGCCTGCTAACACTACGGGTGAAATATCTTGTATGCGAGATTCAATGGGTCAGCCTAAAATGTTTCGACCCACCCTAGTATACCTATATGAACTATATATATATGTATGTACGGATTTGTAAAGCATTTAAAATTGTTTACGATTAAAAGTACGCATATTTCCAAGAACACACACACATGTACATATTCATTTATGTACATATGTATGTCTGAATTTACATAGTAGTGAGTAAGACCTTCAGTGCAGTTTATATATATATATATATTGTATATGAACCTGTTACATTAGCCACCAACTAAGCATCCTACCTTGAGTAGTACTCGTATAAAGTAATGTCATTGGAATTGTACTTTTGAGCAGCATAATAACGTTTTTAACCTTCTTCACCTACCTTCATTTAAGACACATTCAATAACACATCAATGCATACATAATATAATATATATGTATATAAGTTCATAACAACAATTTTTATAAATACTTATTTTTATTTGCAGATATCCAAATTGTACGTCGTGGCGCCTGTGAAGGTCTATTCCCAATGTCACGTGGATGAATTAATACAAATTCCAGTCTCTGACGGAGCAAATGCACTGAGTTACCAAAACAAATTCGCTCTTACATATTCGTTTATATATTAACTAGATAAGTACATATAGAATATATACATATGTACAAGTATATACATATGTTCCCTTTGGACGAGTTTATCAGTTGAAATTTAGAAATTTTAGTTCTCTTCTTCTTCTTTTTTTTCATTCTCTTTCGTTAGCCAGTAGTCAATATATATGTGATACCAGTTTTCTTCTACATTTATACACATACACATATGAAGTATTGATTTTTTAATTAATGAATTAATTTTTATTTTCGAATTTATGAAACTTGTTTTTGTTATTAAAATCACAAACACATGTATTTATGTACATTACTACATATGTAGATAATATAAGCCGGCAAGTATGTGTGTATATAAATATTTGAAAAAAGTCTAAAAAATGTTGAAAAAATAAACAAATAACAAAACCACGAAAATTTTGCATAAAATAAAAAAAAAAACAAGAATAACAAATGACGATAATGACGAAATTTGTTTTAAATTTCATAAAAAAAATGGAAAATTTATTTCTGCTAAAATAACTGTGAAATAAACTGTTTTAAAATATACTTAAGAGGAGTTGGAGAAAAAAACCATTTTTTTTACTTTTTAAAACTCTGTTCTTAATATAAACATAAAAAGCGCTAAAATTATTTCAAAATTTTTTTTAAATATTGCCTTATAAATTTAAAACTTGTTTTTACGATGTCGTATGCTAAGAGCTGTCGCACGGGACATTTAAATGTACATTAGTTTATAAGAAGTTAGGTATTCATTTGCAATTGAAATATTGAAGAGAGCAAAACCGGCTGCAGAAAGACTAAAGAAATTAGAAAATTTGCATTTGTTTTCTTTTTTTTATGAACAAATGCCACCATAAATATTGGTATATACGAGGGGCACCTGATAATCTCGCGACCTTCCCCTTTATATAAGAAGGTGAAAAAATGGACTCGGCTGTCTCAACAAGGAAGGAAGATCACCCCCGCTTGAGATGGTCGTAGCCAAAGAAAATGTCCAGAATGTTGGAAAACTAGTACTGGCTGACCGAAGAAATAAATTTCAGTAGATAACAGAAGAATTGCAGATTAGCAAACAATGAGCTGGAGAGATTTTACATGAACATTTGTATATCAAAAAAAATTAGTGTGCGTTCGGCACAGCGTATGCTCACGCCGCTCGACAGGCAACGACGATTGGAGTGTTGTAAAGATTTTTTGAAGTTGTGACAAGATCATTTGAAAGAAATTCGCAGCCACATTCTAACAGCTGATAAAAGTTGGATTCATCAGCATGATCCCGAGTCCAAACAAGAGTCGATGCAGGGGTTAAAAAAGGGGAAAGACCACTAAAATAATGAAAAGTGGATAAGTCCTTCGTCCATTTTCTGCCAAAGGGAACTAAAATGAACGACAAGGATTACGCTAACTTGCAGTCGTACAGAAGAGTTGTGGCAAGTTAGCGCACGGAGTGAAAAATGTATTTTACTTGAGGCAGACTATATCAAAAAAAAACACATAAAACTATTGGTTTCATTACGTACCTTTGGAGGCAATATGAGCAGCAGGGTATGCTTTTAGATATGTGATTTTCAATAAAAATAAGGATTTCCCATTACGTTTTAAAAATGGAAGGTCGCGTTTTCACTTGCCTCTTACACTAAAGAGCTACATATTTGCTCACAAATTGTTATAAATTACATTGAGAATGGAAAAGAAATTACTTAATTATTTAAAATTCTAGGTAAGTAGTCCTGGTGTCGTACTAAGAATCAAAAAGTTATGGAAAATTAATTTAAATAAAAATGAAGTTAAGTTTTCTAATTTTGGTCGCCCCTCTGTAGGGAATGTCAACCCCTCTGAGTGTATTTCTGGCATGAAATAAAGCCTCCTCAGAAAAACCATCAGCCGGCGGCTTTATTTAAATATTAAGGTTTAATAATAAAATTACAAAAATTCCTTTAATATTTCCTGCTGAAGTAAATTTCATTTGAAACAAAAGCAATGGATTTTTTATTGACATACTGGGACTGGTGCGTTTTGCCCATCAGCTGTTGAATGCTCCCCGATCTGATACTGCTGCCAACATTAGAATGTGAGATGGGGGAACGTTCTCAGCTGCAATTTGAGTGATTTTTAGTAAGTTTCGTATCTAGTCATCTTTGATCTCAGAACTCTATCACTCTTGGCACATATGCACTTGCACAGTTGTTGCTCGTTTATTTGGTCACTGTTTGCCAATTAAAAAAAAAAAAAAAATAAACAAGAGATATTTTGTAATATAATTAAAAGCTTTTAGAAAAACGCCCCTTTTTGTTCAAACAAACAAGCAGTTTCTGTTTCATTTAGATACTTATGCACAATACTATGAGTATAAATTATATAATATATAAGAAATATAAATTAGTTAAATTCTTAATTTGTGTTTTCCAAATGAAATCTCTAAATGCCCAAATCTCTATGATCATGAATATGCGCATCTTCATACTAAAAACTAAACTAAAAACATACAAAAAGAATAAATATTACTTTTATAGGGTNATCGTGAGATTTCTTTAAATTGAAGGTGGAGCAAATAATAAGAACTTCCGGCGTATGCCGATGACATTGATATAATCGATTTCAACATGAATTCTGCCTTCTTCAAGCTTGACAAAGAGTTGAAGCGCATGAGTCTGGTAGTGAACAAGACGAAATATCTTTTGATATCAAACACAGAGTCGACGCACTTACGGCGTTGCTCCATGTCACCAATTATGGTCATAACTTCGACGTCGTAGATAATTTCGCCTATCTAGGGACCACCATTAACACCCATGATCATGCCCGTCTATAAATCCAACGCAGAATCACTCTTGCTCACAGGCGTTGGTACGGACTGAATAGGCAATTGAAAAGTAGATTCCTTTCTTGACAACCTCTTACCAAACTTTACAAGTCACTCAGCTTTCCAGTCCTTCTATATGGTGCAGAAAACTGGACGATGTTAACATCCGATGATTTGGCCCATGTAGTCTTTGAAAAAAAAAATATTGAAACGATTTATGCTTCTTGACAACAGCGAATACCGCAGTCAATGGAACGTTGAGTTATACGAGCTATACGAAGGCATTGATAGAGTTCAGCAAATGAAGAGAGAGCGGCTACCCTAGTCAGGTCATGTCGTCTGAATGAATGAAAGACTTTCACTTTGTTCTGTTGAAAGAATAAGGTAGAGAGCGACCAAATTGCACTCGGTATTTCCAACTGGCGTCCAACAGCGAAGAGAAAGTATGAATGGCGCGTTATTGTTGATTCGGCTATAATCGCATAAGCGGTGACCATGCCAATAAAAAGAAGAAGAATATGGAGCAATAATTACTCTCCTTCCAAGGGAATTGGCATAAAGAATACCAAATGAACGACCAATATTACGCTAACTTGCTGAGTCAGATGCGTGAGGCAGTCGTACAGAAGAGACGTAGCAGGTTAACGCACGGAGTGCTGTTTCTTTAAGACAACGCAGCCGTTACCATAAGATACTGGGTTTACAGAAATTGACCATCTACCTTATAGTTACTTTTTCCCAGTGCCTTTTTCCTTTTTTTTCAAATTTAAAAAAGCAATTACGGGATATGTATGTACGGATTTGTAAAGCATTTAAAATTGTTTACGATTAAAAGTACGCATATTTCCAAGAACACACACACATGTACATATTCATTTATGTACATATGTATGTCTGAATTTACATAGTAGTGAGTAAGACCTTCAGTGCAGTTTATATATATATATATATTGTATATGAACCTGTTACATTAGCCACCAACTAAGCATCCTACCTTGAGTAGTACTCGTATAAAGTAATGTCATTGGAATTGTACTTTTGAGCAGCACGTTTTTAACCTTCTTCACTTACCTTCATTTAAGACACATTCAATAACACATAAATGCATACATAATATAATATATATGTATATAAGTTCATAACAACAATTTTTATAAATACTTATTTTTATTTGCAGATATCCAAATTGTGCGTCGTGGCGCCTGTGAAGGTCTATTCCCAATGTCACGTGGATGAAATGATACAAATTCCAGTCTCTGACGGAGCAAATGCACTGAGTTACCAAAACAAATTCGCTCTTACATATTCGTTTATATATTAACTAGATAAGTACATATAGAATATATACATATGTACAAGTATATACATATGTTCCCTTTGGACGAGTTTATCAGTTGAAATTTAGAAATTTTAGTTCTCTTCTTCTTCTTTTTTTTCATTCTCTTTCGTTAGCCAGTAGTCAATATATATGTGATACCAGTTTTCTTCTACATTTATACACATACACATATGAAGTATTGATTTTTTAATTAATGAATTAATTTTTATTTTCGAATTTATGAAACTTGTTTTTGTTATTAAAATCACAAACACATGTATTTATGTACATTACTACATATGTAGATAATATAAGCCGGCAAGTATGTATGTATATAAATATTTGAAAAATCTCTTAAAAATGTTGAAAAAATAAACAAATAACAAAACCACGAAAATATTGCATAAAATAAAAAAAAACAAGAATAACAAATGAAAAAATTTGTTTTAAATTTTATAAAACAAAAATGGAAANCTGGTAACAAAATTTACAGGGTCACAGTGAGCTCAGAATACGAAATAGTAACAAAATTTACTGAATGGTAAATTTTAATACCTAATAAAACTTTGTTACCTTTACAGAATAGGCCTGTAAATCTCACTAATTTTAGTAAAACTACTGTTTTTTTTCTATAAATACAAAATTTCAAATAAACCGAGCACTGAAGACGAACTTTCACTAAAACTCCTGTGCATTCCCTAAACCTAAAAAAATCTAGAAAAAAACATTGCTTGTTTGCAGAGACTCATGAAAGCAAACGACGACATAAGAGATGAGATAAGAAGCTGGCAGCAATGATTTTAGTATTTTTGAAAAGTTGCTAGTAGGAAATTTTAACAGTCACAAAATATATGTCAAATATATCTGATAATTAAAAGCCGAATATGGAGCTTCCTTTAGCTTAGACGCCTTTCGACTAAGATTCTTAGTGTGTATTTGATATTATTTTTCCCCGATCACATATATTGGGTTTTGGGTTTCCGATCGCTACCCAAAGCAAACGTTTTGCAATAATTTTTAAAAAGAAGGGAGATTCGGGAAGGTACTGTCAGCCACATTAGTGATGACTGGCTGTAGCAAAAAACTGACGTTTGCACGCAAAGATCTGCTGTACATATACAGGGTGCTGCATATTTTATGTCGGTATGTAAAACGCTGAATAGCTTTCACATTTACCAACCGAGCGATTGCATTAGATATGTTTTGGAAACGTCAATTCAGTACAATTTTTGCCATGGATCGCTCCACACCGAAACAACGCACTGAAATAGTGATACTTTCCATTGAAAACAGTCGACACATTGTGTTAACTCAACGTGGATATCGGAAAAAATATTGCCGCAAAAAGACACCATCTGACAGATCACCTCATTAAAGCCCCCCCCCCTACCCTCCCCCCGGACTACTCTTTGTGAGGTTATCTGAAAAGCAAGGTTTACGCCAACCAACCTCAAACTATTGATGAACTCAAGGCGAACATCCGTGCTGAAAACGACGCTATAACACCCGAGATGATGGGAAACGTAATCACGAACGCAGAAAAAAGTAGTCATTTTGTTATTGCTAATAGAGTTAGCCACTTGATTTGATATTGTTTTCAAAAACTAACTAAACTTAATAAAAATACATCACCTTTAGAAATCGGTCGTTTTTTCTCAAAATAATGCAATGTTTACATACCGACGTAAAAAATGGAGCAGCCTGTATACATCACAGTTGGATGCACTTTACTACGTCAGGTCAAAAAATAGTTCTGTTCGGAGAGAAATGCCAGTCAAAATTATGGCGTAGCGAAATGTTAAAATTACGCTCTCTCGATACTAATTTACTGACCTTTTGTCTTACCGTACAGGACTAATGTCATTAAAGATGTCAAAACAAAAAGCCGTACGTGCATTAATACAGCATGAAGTGAGTCATGGTGGCACAATGTATCAAGACGATCAAAATCTAGCTGAGCAAAGAATTCACGTTTATTACATAGCTGATGAGAGAGGGGAGAGAGTCAGAAGTGAAGTATACATCAGAAGCGATATTTTTTCTGACTCAAACAGAATTTGCAAACGAGCAAACGACCGCAGAAGCTTATGCGCAAAACATATGACGCAAAACTAACGATCGTCAGATAGCTAATGGTGCGATTAGCCACACAATAAGTGCAGGAAATGTAGGGAATGTACGGCGACAGTGGAGGACGTATACTCTGATGGCCCAACGTTCGGCGCCAAGTAAAGTTCGGTAAAGCGGTAAAGAGAAGTTGCAGTATCACCCACCATGAGTAATGGATAAACGACTGCTTCAATTTCCGCATAGAGAAGCAATTTTCTTCAAACTAGAGACATAACAACTAGCGTGGCCAGTACAGCTCTGGCCGCGTGTAGTGTAGCCGGTAACACTATGAGAGACTCCTTGGAGTCAACCCGTTCAATCTAACCAAATCCAACTGCGATTGCACTGATCTTATACCAAATTTCGTTCAATTTCTTTTTTAGAAATTTTTTCCTACAGGGTTTTTCAATTCTTTGAAATTTGTGTGTAGTTAGAGCAAGTGTACAATTTTAATGAAAAATATATAAATAAACATTATAAAAAATCCGTTTAAACACTAGCTGTTTAGTACTGAAAAAAATTCCGAGCCAATTGGACTCAAATTGCTCTTCATAAGGAAAAGAAAATAACCTAGACGTAAAACATATTCGGAGAAAATATAAAAAATGAAATATTTTACAAATTCTAAACTTTTAGTGAGTAAGTGATAATTAATATTAATGATATTACATACTTACGTACATTTGTGGTTGTGAAGTGTGCTGTATAAATAGAAAATAATAGCTATGGCACGTAGAGGGCGAATGTAAGCCCAAGTCGGAGGCTTTGGAGTTGTAGGAAAAGTTTTCCAACTTAGTTCAATAGGTGCCTAAAACGGCTACGTGTGAAATCCAAATATAGTGGATAGCAAACGTTTCGACAAACAGAGAGTAGTGTCGCGCTGTTTTAAGCTTCAGGTCCAGCTCAGCATATGTAGTGACTATTTTTAATGTGTTCTTTCTTATCGTATTCTACGTACATACGTATGTATATGATATGCCCAAGCTAATCTCATAATATTTTACAGCGTTTATATGCGTCCATTTGGTTCAACACGCAAGCAGTGCGCCACAAGGGTGGACCCAGCCGCGTTTCAACAGCACCGCAGGAGTAGCTACTCAAAATCGGAAAACCGGCAGTTGGCAGGCAAATGGAGGCTGGAATTCGCTACAGCAACAACAACAACCGTCACAATGGCCACGTAGAAACCAGACCGTAGGAAATCAAAACTACTACAAACCCAATAGCACTCGTGGTGCCTACAACAACAACTGGGAACGTGGTAATGGGTCATATCAACCACAAGGCGAAAGAGTTTGGTTAAATAGCAATCAATCACATCCCTTCATACAAGTACCCGGATTTAGAAATCCATCAAATATTTTTGCTGCTGCTAAGCAACCAAATCGTAGCATATCTGAAGGCGCAGGTTGGAGGCAGCCAAACAATTGGAGTACTCAAAACCGCAATGCAACACAATGGTATCCAGCAGCACGTCCCAGCAATAATTTCACATACGGTGGACAACTTACGCCAAGCGGAGCCAGCTGGGCAGCACCGGTTAGCCTAGCAGGCAATACAAATGGACATGGCGGTGGGAGTAATAGCAGTCGTAGCGGCTACACTGGTGTTCCGGCAGTTAATCAATGGAACAGCACTGCCTCAAATCCCGTTTGGAACGCGCGTCTTCCGGGTAACGCACTAGTAGCTGGAGTTTCTGGAGCCAATAGAACCGCACCAGCGGCACCATTTGGAAGTAACGCTTTTAATGGACAAGGCTGGAATATACCTAATAACCCATCACCATACGGTAGTGTGAACAGTGGCTCCAATTCTGATGCTCAACTGGCACCGTTAGCTGGACATACAAATACCGGAATGAGCTATGCTAATGGTTCACAACAACAGTCGCAATCACGTGGTCCATATAATACTAATCCCTATGCCAATTTATTCGTTTAACCACCAAGGGTGATTTTTTTCTTTTTTTTTCTGGTTTTCACCGTTTTATTGTGATTAAAATGAGATAATAAATTATTCCAAACAGAACATAACAGCGGTAATATTGAATAACATATTAGAGCTTTACCTTGTTTCCCCGTATGCTGGTATTGAGAAAAGAGAATTAGTTCTTTACGCTGTTTGACACCTATTGAAAATACCATACACATCCAGGTCCTTCTCTACCTGTGCTTTCCAATCGAGTTGAGGTCCGATGATACCAGCCGCGGGTACTGCATCGGAAATATTCAAAGCTATAGTATTCTTATCTATCCGGACCACATGACCTAACCAGCGCTGGCGCTGTCTTTTGACTAGCTCATCATTGCAACGGTCACGGCGTTCGTTGGGACCAACTCGTAGAGGACCATTAATCTTACGCAAAACCTATTTTGCGATTACAACAACAACAACAACAACAACAACAACCCAATGATCTCAACATCATTGGTATACACAGCAGCGTAGAGGCAGCTCCTCTTCGTGTTGTCGCTGTTTGCCTTACAATCGACAAAGAGGTATTACGTGTCTCTCTTTTCAAAGGTCTTTTCGAAAATTTGGCGCCTAGTAAATGTTTTAGATATTGGTCGGACTATGACTTGAGCCCTGTCCTTCCGAATGTCAGTACGCAATGTTAACCATTCAACATGAATATATGTATGTTCGGAAATTTTGTTTTTAAGCTGATTTCCTTCGGCATCAATGTGATCGTCTTGTTCGGCGCTGCTGCTGTTTTTTACGTCCATATTGCTTTCTTTTGTTATCAATGCTGTCGCTCAGCTGTGTTCGGTTTGTCCAACAAGAATGACAAAAATTCACAAGGAAACGAAGAGAGTATGACGCACACTTATACAAATGTAAGCATCACATTTGTCATGTCGGCTTTAAGAAAGTGATAGGAGAATCTTTCTACGAAATGACGGCATATGACATCATGCATTCCTGACATATGTTGGCTCAAATGATCGGAAGCCTTCTTTCAGGGTATACACACATATGTGCATAACGGGCCGGCACTTGGAAAAGTCACTTGCCCTACCACCAACCAACTTCACAAAGATGAGCACTGCACCGAAATCTGCAAAGTCGCTAAAAGCGAACTATTATTTCAGGATGAAATGCAAAATAAGCAAAATCGTGCACAAAGGCAGAACCACGGCTCACTAGCACACCAGCAGTTGTAAGGGCAGAGACGAATGTATGATTGAGATTTTGGAATACCCCCCTCGCCTCATATCGTTAAATCTTAGATATGAATGGTCTCTCGCCCTGCGCGAAAACCGTTATCGTCCTATACGCAGACTGCTTTAGCTCGCAATAAAGCAAACTTCCATCTCGTACTACAAAGGACAAACGAATATACGTAAGACGCGTCAGCCGGCCAGCAACCTTGCGTAATAGGCAAAAGTAAGTTAACGTCCATCGTAGTATCCTGACCCAAGATTACACAGAGTCTAACGGGGCAGCTCGCGCTGCTTATCCGCTATAATAGTGGTAGTGTTTAAATTTACATATGAATAGAGTGAAGGTGATAAACGCCCATCTGTAAGTAGCCTCCAACTTCCTGCTAAATGGAAATCATATACTTACTTCATGATGCGCGTGGGTCCCCACCATTGACGCCAAATAAGTAAAACAATATTTTCCAGTTATGATCTCAATCAAATGAAATGTTCCTATTTATTTCAGATATTAAATGATTTTAAACATTCGTATCATTTTTCATTTTTTCAAAAACATTTACATTTATTTAAATAAAACGAACACAAAACTCAAATTCTAAAAATACCTGCCTACAAATTCTACACAATTGCTTTTATGGTGCTTCTGGTACGTGTATTGACGGTTCCCCTTTACAAATTTATATGTCTATTTAAACTGTTTCTGGGAGCATGATTTTCAAGTAAATTTGTTAAAACATACAACTTCTTCCACAGCTGCTTCTATCACGAGTTTAACCTAAAGTTGTTCGTTTCTCATTAAGAGGATTCTTAGGTGTTTGATCAGCCCAAATTTTACTCTGCCTTTTAATACGTATAGCAAAGTATTGACTTTGAAAAAGAGGTAAATATCAAAGGGGGCGAACCGTAACTCCAGGCAGGCCAAAACAAAAGTCCATCGATGTGGTTCCCACGCCGCCGACGCCGTATCCCTCGCCGCCGTCACAACTTGGTATCCCTCGCCGCAGTCATAACTTGGTATCCCACGCCGCAGTCAAAACTTGGTATCCCACGCCGCAGTCAAAACTTCGTATCCCACGCCGCCGTCATATCATGGTTTCCCACGCTGCAGTCACAACTTGGTATCCCACGCCGCCGTCATATCACGGTTTCCCACGCTGCAGTCACAACTTGGTATCCCACGCCGCCGTCAATTCATAATACCCGTTGAAATAAAAATAACAACCCCACGATGAACCGCCAACCGCTGCTCCCCCGTTGAAAGATCCCACGCCGCAGTCATAACTTGGTATCCCACGCCGCCGTCGAATCTTGGTATCCCACGCCGCCGTCACAACTTGGCATCCCACGCTGCCGTCATAACTTGGTATCCCACGCCGCAGTCAAAACTTGGCATCCCACGCTGCAGTCAAAACTTGGTATCCCACGCCGCAGTCAACACTTATAGATGATTATCGAAGCTATTGCTAATTCAATTTCTGCCTTCCCAATCAACCCCAAACTATGTTCGAGGTAAACGAAAATCTGACGTCCAGAAGGAAACTACTCGGAAGATATACAGCATTGCGAATACAGATTGCTCTCGCTCTCTCTCGATCTGTCTCGCCAAAACAAAGTGATGGATTTAAGAATGATGAAGATGAACATTGAGCATATGAACTGCCCATACTCCCGTTGTATATAGTTTGTCAGGGTAAAAGGATATCCCAGTCGCGTTGTTAAGATCTTTCGGCCGAATATGTTACATTCAGCGTTCTCATACTTTCTGCAAGGCAATACATGCCACCGTACGTACGTGAAACCACTGCTGAAGCCACTAATAACGAGCCTTTGCAACAGGACGCACAGGCAAACACACATTTAACATCATACAACAAAACCACAATAGCGAAGGCGACACATGACTTTGTAATACTCAATCCGCTTGAGTCTCAATGGAGTTGAATTCAGGAATCCGGAAAGTAATGCAGATGAACTGTGGTAGTCTTAAGTACTTGCGAATATGACTTCTTGATTATCAATTAGCATATAGTAGATGGCAACATCGTAAACATAATTAATTATGCCTGCATGGATGGTGTTTGGAAGGCAGCCGGTGTTCTGGCGGCTATTTAGTGCACCCGCACTTGCCGTTGGAAAATGTTCGCTTGTGGTATGTATATTGTCGATGAATATGTGCGTATATGGTCTTGCGTGTACGTGAGTTTGTGCGCATGTTTGCAGTTAAGTACGAAAGACGCTGGTAGCTAAATAAACTTGCATTTGTAAAACGACAATCACATGTTGGATTATGTTGATAAAATAGATCGGACGACGTTACTCCATGAAGCTCTGCTGACTAACAGCTACCCAAGTGTCGAATAAGTCAAGGATGGAAGTTGATTTCGAGTGCAAGGTGTTGTTGCAAGCGCGCTTAAACCACACATTAGTGTGAAGCCCATGCAGTGGCACAGCAACTACGGCCGAAGGATTTGATTTCAAGGATTTGATTGTATTTTGGCGCACTCAACAAATAAATTGGATTCCCTGAATCGAACCGCCGATTGCGATGATTTCTCCCTATGTGAACTAAGCTTTTATGCCTTGCACTCTCTACTGCCTTTCTTTTCCCCTCTGCTGTGCTCTGTCTTGAATTCGGAATGTGTATTGTGTGTAGACATTGATACGTTTGATTGATTAAGAAGAAAATATCTCATCTCTGCTCTCAAAATGTTGCTCACTCATACGGCAAAACGCTTTCTAGGACAAAAGGACATCTCCCACGCTCACTCACTGGACATCACCAAGGTATTCTTTCGCTTTTTGTAGAAGTAGTTAGTTTTCACTGCTTTCTTGCCGTGTGCCAGGTTAATTAATTTGTATGTATATCAAAAATTACAATCTTCAAAAATTTACATGTCACAAAGTTACAAGTTAAAGTTTTCTTTTTAAATTATATAAGGAATGAAAATTAACAAAATCGAATAAATTATTTGAATAGCAACATTGCAAAATATTTACATTACTTCAATCAATATTAGTTATAAAATTGTTTTACATTTTTAAAGATATTGATTTCTTCCAGTTTGTTGTTAAAATAAACATTTTTCTCAATTTTCTTTGTTTCTATGCACCAGGCATATTAGTGGCTCTACTACTTCGTACATTGATTTGTTGTGGATCGTTTTAATATTTCGTATCTTACAATCAGGAATATAAGTATTAAAATTTTCAATGAACATTGTTGAAAAAAATTATATCAATTCAGATATTTTAACAGAAAATGGACATATTTGGCCTTAGGTCATTAAACAGAAAAGTTTTTCGATACAATTCTCTGCAAGGTATTTCAACAGAAAGGTAATCGTAACAAAAATCACATATTTTCATCATAATTTTGGCAAATAAAATTTCCATACATCGAAATGTAATATAGGTAAGTGTAGTTACATAAGCTAACATGTTAACTAGCGTTGTGGTTGCTATCGTTACGACTGCTCATGCTCATGCTCAAGCTCATTTTGTTCAATTTGGGCATCTCTCGATCATCAGTAGACCGACCGACCGACCACTCCACACGCTTAGTGGTTGAATTTAGTCATTTATTTTGACGTGTTAGTCACATGTGACCTGTAAATATACAAGTTTATGCTAATAGAACGAACCGTAACAAGTCTTACGCGTGTTTCTTCGATTCCCTTTAGAAACATATCTTCGTCCACCACTATTGGGGACATACACATCAGAGAGCTCCTTATGATTGCTCACAGCCAGGGGGTAGGCTGAGCGGCGACTCGTACGGATTCGCCTATTACCAAAAGCACAGAATAAAAAGTTAAAAAACCAACGTTGTTGTATTAATTTATGTGCTGAACGGGTAGTTGGTAGGTGTGTGACTAATAGCTTGCACTATTGGAGAAATGCATAATTCGAACAAAATTATTACAGCTACAATGGTTAGCAGTAGTGATATCAAAAAAAATATGAATGGTGGTCACTTCTTGTTGTATTTATCGTTCGATTCCCTTTAACGATCGCCGAAATGCGTGTAATAATACCACCAGCACAGCAAGTTGCACAGTAAGGCCAAGTTAGCAGTATTACAGACTCATTCAACCACATACGTACTTTTACTGTAAATAGACTATTTAAATATAATGGATACTTCAAGTAATGACCTCATATATTCAGAAGCAGACTTTAGCCACTGCGATCAGCTTCTTCAAGCATTTCAAGTGGGTGAATGCGTCCACTCTCATCAAAATACTGATCAGTACTGTCGCCTTCGCAGATAAGTTCAACTTAGGCAAGTATCCTCAAACTGTAAGTAAAATGTTAATCGTGGAAAGCTTCATTCGCAAAAAACCTTCAGTTTTCCCCAACTATTCGACGGGTTGCCACTCAAGAAAATTAGAAGGACTATCGCCAACTTCTTGTCTATGGTGATCTATGGTGTTTTTGTAACAGGCCTCAAAGTTGACAAAGGTTTGATATAATCGCTATAAACTTTGTAGATATGTACAGGCACGGTTCAACTGTATCATATCGCTGCAATAAATAAAATTTGCGTTGTTTTCGATGTTGCGAAAAGAATTCGCTCGTAAAATCGGAATGGTATGGTTGTTACAGGTTGTGTTAATTGGAGAGGGTTTACAATTTTACCAGTTGCAAGTGGAAAAGTATGAACAGAAGGCGTTCTTCCAGAGCACAATTCAATGTTGGATGCTTCTTTATTTGGTTGCTATTGGCAGTTTATAATTACCCGATGATCGCGTTAATGTTAAAACCCGAGTGTCGTATGGCTCGATTCCCTATAGCCATTATACAGATGAGATATGCACAGGCACAGTTCAACTGTGTCATATCGCTACAAATTACAATAAAAAAAATTGCACGGTTTCGAGAAAAAGATATATACAAAAAGTGTGAATTTATCATTTCGGCATTTGCTTCACTTCTCTGCAGATTTTCCATTGAAGCCCCAATAGGAGTTTGCTTTTGTTGTACTGGAAAAATACCGAAAACCACTTGCTTTAGTTGCACAAAGTTGACTATCTAACCTCTCGTTGAAAATGTTTATAGTTGTCACTTGATGGAAATGAGCTGCTTTGCTGACATGTTGTTGGCATGATTCCCTTATTGCCAAAAAATTAAAAATCCCTTTTCAAACAAAGGCCGAGTCCAGCTCGGATAAAATTCTGAAAATAAGTTCGGAAATATAACCGTGTCTCTCAAAATTAAAAATCAAACTAGATTTTTTTCAGCATTGTTACGGTCCAAAGACGTAAATGTGCATTGTTGGAATATTCTTTTCTGCTGCTACAATTTGCCGAGTGCGCCAGAGATTATTGTTTACTATTGGCAGATATTCACCACCACTTTGGAATCTACAATAAACAAATTAATTTATGGCAAAAACAGCATCTTACTGTTGCAAGCTACATTCGACATTCTGTCAAAGTCAGGATATTAATCTCTTCAAGCGGAGGATATACAGTTCGTGTCGAAATACTTCCTAATGAATTAGGCTTTAGGCTTGGGCGCATGCAGGCACCGATCAACTGCATCGCACCGCTAAAAAATTATAATAAAAAAAATTCACGTTTTCAAGAAAACATACGCAACATATCAAATTTGATTATTCGACGAGTTCTTCCGTAATCTTTCCTTCAAATCCCAAAAAATGTGCGTTGATTTGTAACTATGCTATACTGAAAAATATCGAAAACGACGTGCTTTAGATGTAGAAGTTGATAATTTAACCTCTTGTTGAAAAAAAAGTTGGTGCCGTTGATTTACAAGTAAATTGTTGATTTACTGACGCTATTGGTGGCATGGTTCCCATAATTAATATTTTTTAAAATTCCATTTCAAACGAAGGCCAAAGCCAACTCGAATAAATTTCTGAAAATAAGGTTGGAAATATAACTGTGTCTCTCTAATTTGAAAATCACATGTTATTTTTTGTATTTTTACGGTCTAAAGCTGTATAATCGCATTCTACTTTGTTGAATTACTTCCTTCCGTTCGCAATCAATCCTATTTTAGATCCTGATCGCATGGACTAATTAGTAATGTACTTGTGAAATCTACAAGAAAATAATTATTCTTGTGCAAGAAAGCAGTTTCTTACTGTTGTTGTTCACTGGGCATTCGGTTAGATGAGTTGTGGATAATCTTTCTACTGAATTAGGCAATGGCACACGCAGGCACTGATCAACTGTGTCGTACCGCTGAAAAAATATTTAAGTCTTCGTCTCTTACGCGATTCTCGCGTTTTATAGCAATACAATAGAAAAGCAAAGGGCAAAATATATGTATCTATATAGCAATGTACTTTTACTTTCGATACTCCAATTTAACACAACTCGCAGATGATGCGATGATATTTGTTGGTAATCGTCGGTGGGTAGTTGTTACTTTCAATATTTCTCAGGTAATACTCTCTCTCTAACTGCAAAAAACATTACTAATGATTTCAAATTCAACCTAACCTTAGATGAGAATTTCTTCCGAGTTTTCTGCTATTATTTGGCACGATTCCCTTTTGCCATTTTTATTTTGTTCCCTCATCTTCAATAACGTTCGCTGATCAATTGCGACATATTTTTCGAGTTTTTGCAGAACTTGGTCACAGGCTTTAAATAAACATCATCCTCAGAAATGTGTATACGTGTATAGAGTTGTTTTGTTACATATGTTGCTCTTCTCATTTCCTACAAATTATGCGTTAGTCAAAGGTATATTGCATTAACCTTACAATTAATTAAAGATTGGTGGTGGCACGTGCTGTTTTCAATTGTTGAGATTGGAACCCTCTTGGCAGTTTGCACACGAATCGCAACTTTTTCAGTTTATGATAGTACTTTTCAATGTTTCCTACAAATTGGTCATTAGTTAAAGAAAAATACATTTGATCTTACGATTGTACAGAAGAAATGTGGGCAATGATTTCAAATCTTTCCAGCTTTCTAAAAAATAAAAGCTCCTCCGATGCTTGCTTGACTCACAGATGTGCACAGGAACGTTCAACTGTGCTACATCGCTATAAAAAATAACAATACTAAAGAAAAACGTTAAGCCGTTGATGTACCTGCTGGTACTGCGATCTTTTGTAATTTAGGCCTATAACTTTTGATTCCCATTATTGATGCTGTAATGGTAGATATTAGTGCAAGATAAGATGGACCTAACCTCACCACTTCTTCATCGCCGTTATGAAGGGTAATGCTTTTTTACACGGTTACACAGCTTTTCTTACTCCCACTATCTCTCTGGGATACTCTCAGGCGCATATATATGCGGGTATCACTGCAAATCGAAAAGAAAATTGTCTGGCTTGCTCATTTTTCCTTAAATGAGTAAATCAATTTTTCGAGTTAGTTTTTCTGAATACTCAATTCATTCCGTTATATTGTGATTTCATCTACACATGGGTAGTCGTAAAGATGTTGCTTAACAGGTTAAAAGTTTCCCCCTCAACTCAGGTTAAAGGAAGTTGAATTTTGGAGTACTTGCAGGCAAGTTTATGAATTTCCCTTCGATACACACAGGCACCGATCAACTGCATCGTATCGCTGTAACAAAATCATAAGCAAAGGAAGAAAAGCGGAGAAAAATAGAGAACAAAACAGGAAAAAAAAACAGGTGCTTCGGCATCTCTTTACACGCCCGCCATAGTGAAATTTGATTGCCCAATTAAGATAGATAATGAAGTTTCCTTTTGACTCGGAAATTAGCTTCCTCAGAACAACAGTGGAGAAAATAGACCGCTAAAAACGAAATATGGTACAGATGGCTTAGGAAATTACTGCCCTTCGCTGTTAACGTGAGTTTTTCATTTATATGTTGTTTTTATATACGAACAGGAACGTTCAACTGTTTCGTATTGCTGAAAATTAAAAAGTAGTTGTTCTACGGAAATTTTGTTAAATACCATTATCAACCCATGTTGGTTGCGTGTTTGTTTGTTTGTTTCTTTCTTTGTCCCTTTATGAGTTGAATATTTTCGTTTGATGTGTTGGTTAACGCACGAGTATGGCTTTAAGTTGATGTCCCCGGCTGTCACATATCGCTGCCATTTCTCTCAAGTTTTATCACCACCACATTTGGTCAATATCTGTGTTGTGTATTTACTACGTGAGGAACAGCGTGTGTAACATCCTTTCAGCTCATACCGTCGCTTCCGCCACTCTCACATATCGTATTGCGTCAAATTAGCACCAATCACAGCAATTTGTGTAGAATTTCTATGTTTTTCATTGTTTTGATCACTCACTCTGATGTTGGTTTAAAAATAAATCAGCATTGCTGATTGACTGACTGACTGACAGACTTCTTTGTTTCTCGCCAAAAAACGAACTGTAAAACAAAATTGCATTTATGGTTTCATCATTTTTAGAATAAATTTACACTACAAAATTTTGTATTAATTTTTATAATTTATTATTTTTTCCAAATCAATATTGTATAAACTGTTATAAATTTTAATAACAAAAATATTACTTAAATCCTTATTATATTTAGGAACATCACAATTAATTCAATATGAATCAGACCTACTTTTTTCAGGTACACTTTGTGTATAGATTGCATCAGCAATTAAAACTAAGTCAACGCAATGCAATACATTAAATACCAATCGCCATCTCTCACTCATAGAAAAAATGAAACGCATCGGAAACTGTTACACAAAAAGAAAAAGCTAATCTACAGTAATATGGAACTTTTTACGTCGCACTTAAATACCCATTTTCATAAGGAAAAAGCGATATAATTAATTTTCTTCATGTAGTCTGGAATGGAATATAATAAAATATAAAAAAAAAAAAAAAATCTTCCTGGATTTCGGAGTACATATTACTATCTCTTTCATTCATATAAAACCACTTTATGGGAAATGGTTAAATACACTGGAATATACTGGAAAAATATATCTACTGCCGTTACATAATTCGACAAGCAAACCTCAATATTAGAATATGCTTCCAAGTCCAAATATTTCAAAAGGAACAAAGAAAATATTTGTATGTATACCATCAGAGGAATTTTTTCAAAGAAGCTGTAATTCATTAGTCATCTTTTTCACATAAAACAACATGGCGGACGAAGTCTGCCGAAGCAAACAGAAAACGACCGTTGCAAAAAGAAAATGGCGATTGATTTTAACGTTTTGCTTTATGAAATCACGAGATAACCACATACATTATATATATGTATGCACATATTTTTTTTATAATATTATATACATAGTATAGCTTTTATTTAAAAATAATTTTACGAACCGATTGAATAGCATCCGAGCTGATCATCCACACATCAGTCGTGCTTAATATCGTTTACCAGGCTCCCAAACTCGGGCACGCCCAACCACGACTCGCTGGCTTTGCCTACGTAAGTAAATGGTGTCATGTCAACTCTCTCGGTATTCAATTTTCACATTGTATGATGCTTTGTTGACTGCAAATGAAAAACTTGCATGATAAAACTATACTAAAAATACACATTTCAGACACATCTGCAAAATTAAACTATTAACTATTTACAGCAATGCTTTGCAGCACATTGCAATTATCACTTTTCATTTTGTAATCATTTTCGCATATTAATTTAGTGTCACTATTGCGATTACTATTACTGCTACTCAATGAACGCATGAAGGAATCCAGTTCACTCAGCTCGCTTTTCCACAAATTATCGACTTTTGCACGACGTTCAGCCTCCTCTTCCTCAGACCCCTTCATTTGGTTTACGTAACTGGTGATGGAGTAACCAGTTGCCAATTTCGCTTGGAACTCTGTCCAACGAAGAAAACGTTCTTTTTGTTTGCAACGCAATTCAGCTTCGGCAGTTAAGAGCGCAGTATTTAGCATAGCATTTACCCGTAAATTGCCACGTAATTTTCTTTTCATTTCCGAACGTTTTATACGGAAATTACGAACCCAACCACTTAATGTTTTGGGATCGTCTTTAACAAAATTATTCTCATACGATTCTACCATTGTGTCAGCACAAATTTGACGGCACTTAGCAACTCGTTCAAAAAAAAATTATAATAAATAAAAACGGTGCAGTCCTGCTCTTTTCTTTTTTACTATGGTTTTGACTGTATGTATGTTTTCCTTTGTTTAAATTTAAAACATTTATTACACAATACAAACACACACACCTTCAGATTTGTGTTGGCCTTGAACTATGATGATTCATTCACTCTTTCTGCTTTGCTTAATTTTGTTCAGCTTTCACTTCTCCGCAGACTTGAGAAATATTTTTGACACGAACCACACGACTGTTTGCCAACAACTGTGCATTTTCTTAACCAGCAGCCCTCTATTTATACTCTGGCACGTAGGCAAAACACAATATTCCTCCGCTCAAGCATACAAAGTAGCACTTACCCCGTATTGATTTTCTTGATTACCATACCTACTCCGAAAACAAAGAAGCATTAAAAAAGAAATAATTACTAGGGGTTGTATTTTGTTGCATTATAAATGTGTACGAGCTAAATTTTTTTCCCAAAACCTTGAAGCGAAAAATTTATGTGAAATTTGTCCCTGTGCATTCAATAGAAAATACCAAGAAAATACACAAGCAGTATTTAATCGCTTTCTGGACGTTTCCTAAAATTCGGAGTAAATATTTAACGAATACACAAAATAATGCCAGAGAGATGTAAAATTTGATTTGAAATCATAGAATTTTAAAGTTAGTTTTAAATTTATGTTTTTTACTTTATTGAACCAATTTTTAAACTCGACATTTATATGTAAAATTCAAATGCATGAAAAGAAAGACAAATCGATTCATATAAAAACCTAGTACTACCGTTGATATATAAATAATTATGATTATCATATGCGCATATATGTATATCCATATATGTATGTATGTTTTTATGCAGGTACATAACTAGGTAAAAAGGTGTAAGCCTTTGTAGACCCATGTAGAAGTTGCATAGCATAATACTTTAGGAATTTCGAATTAAAGCACGTACTTCCTAAAATTGTATACTTACATATGTATATGTATATGCAAACACGCGTACATACTTAGTATTTAAATATGTATATAAATGCATTTATACCAAGTGCTTATGTTTTAAAAAGGAGGATAAGTGTGCCAGTGAATGGACATTACCAGGTAACAGGGCAGTACTGAGTTTTTTTGACGGAAAAATAAGAAAACTACTAATAATTTTATATAAAAAAGAAATGCATTTAAAGCAGGGTTTAATAAAAGTTTTAATTTGCTGCCTTTGATACACCAAAGAAAAAAAATATTCTTAATAAGTTACACTGACCGGTTAATGGAATGAAAATGCAGCTTATTTTTATTGTGTCTGTTGTTTCATTATTCTATATCTCATAGAATATGTTTTAAATTTTTATTAAAATAACAAATAAATACGCTTAAGGGGGAAGGGAGTTCTTAATATAGCATAGTAATATTTACGTTATTATTCCTAAGCCTGCTCCCCATGATATTATAAAGTAAAAATTTCAGAGCTCCCTTCCATGTTGGATTTAAGAAGTAAGAACTTTGTTTTATAACAATTTTAGAAATAAATTTTTAACAACTTTATAGTGAAACTTTGTTATATTGTTAGAATTTACATACGTAGTTATTCACGCAAATTTTAGTATATGTATATGCAGCTGCAGAAGAAATCGCAAAAATTCGTACCTACATACATACCTACCTTAAAATAACGGCTATAAAATACCAGGTAAAATTCCTTTTAAACGTGAGAATAACTCAAAGACATCAACCCTCAGTCAATGCATTATCTATAGGTACATTTTGTTTCAATTGTATGTGTATATAGGGTTTATAGACATATATACATACACATTGTTTATATTATCGCTGCCTGTTGAATTTCTTCTTGCCACCAAACAACCAAATTTAACGGCTGTTGATAAATGTTAATGAATAAAGAAACGCTAGAGGAAGTAGAACTTATTGGCTCACTCTGTTTCTCTTTATATCGCTCTCCTTCATTACTAAGTTGATTTTAACTAAATTACAAAATAACAACTACAATAAAAATACACTCAAACATTGTTTATAAATTTCTTAAATAAAACGAATATATATTTATATATGTACATATATGTATGTATGAGGTATTATTCATAAATCCAAATTTTAATCAGCTGACATCAAGTCAAATTGATTGTGGCTTTCAATGTAAAACAAACAAAACATTAAATTAAATATATTAAAAAAATTTAAAATTAGCATTGGCATATTTCTTGGCAATTAGAAAAAGTTTATGTATGTATGTACTATGTACATATCTTTACAAACGAGTATTAAATATTGATGAAGTAAATAAAAATCAATAATAAATATATATTAGGTCAAGTAAGAAGTTCGTTCAGTTTTTTTTATTGATGTTTCAAAATATGATAACTTTGTGTACATTTGTCCGATCTAAGTCAAATATGCGTCGTTTTGTTCGTAAACTTGTTGCCAACGAGATGCCAGCGTTATAATACCCCTCTCGTAGAAGGCTGCGTCGCTATTGGCAAAAAAATAGGAGGACCAATTTTCACAGGCCCCTCTTGAGGCCAACTTCTTTCCATTAAGCGCGTTCGCCATGGACAGGAACAGATGGTAGTCACTTGGTGTCAGGTCCGGACTATAAGGTGGGCTTCTTGCGCGTCACCAAAGGCGTGTGTGGCCTGGCATTGTCCTGATGGAACACAATTCGGCCTCTGTTGCTCAAAGATGGCCTCTTCTGGATGAATGCTGCCTTCAAGCGGTCCATTTGTTGGCAGTAGAGGGTCGAATGGAGCGTTTGGCCATAGGGTAGCAGCTCGTAGTTAATGATTCCTTGCCAATCCCATCAAACACACAGCACAACCTTTTTGGCCACCGTCTCAGCCGCTTCATCGAGCTTTGACCACAACCGTTTGCGCTCGATGTTGTTGTAAGTGACCCATTTTTTATCGCTAGTCACAATCTGCTTCAGAAACGTATCGATTTTGTTGCTATTCAGCAGCGATTCGCAGATGGAAATTCGGTCCATCAAGTTTTTTAGCTTTAGTTCGTGGCACCCAAACATCAAGCTTCCTTTTGAATTCAAGATTGTGCAAATGATTTCAAATGCTTTTCTGGCTTATCTTTAGTTCCTCAGCAATAAAGTAAATGCTCACGTGACGGTCTGTTTCCTCTATTTCCATGATTTTATCGCGATTTTTGACAGCAGGCCTCCCGACGCATGGTGCATCTTTGACATCGAAATTACTGGAACGGAACCTAGCAGACCACTTTTGTGCTACACGTTCGTTTATAGTATCGGGCTCATAAACTAAATTAAATTCTTCAATCGCTTTGGCTGCTTTTTTGCCTCGATCGAAGAAAAATTGTAAAATTTTGTGAATTTTGCCTTGAGCGCCACAACGTACAAAGTCAATCAATCGAAAAACTGTCAAAGGAAAACTTTTAGCGCGAATAAACACGCTTTTAGCGCCATATTGTAAGACTGATCCGACACGGAAACACTACTACAATGGGCAATAAAGCCACCTCTTAGATAAAAACCGAACGAACTTTTTACTTTACCAATATATATTTAGATATATTTACATGGTATACAAATACATACATATACAATATATATATATTATACATGTATGTATATATATACATATACCAGCAGCTGCAGAAAAAATTGCAAAAATTTGTACCTACATACATACCTACCTTAAAATAACGGCTATGAAATTCCAGGTAAAATTCCTTTTAAGCGTGAGAATATCTCAAAGACATCCTTTGCCTAATAAAAGAAAAAATATCAAAGAAATAGCCAACCCTCAGTCATTGCATTTTCTATAGGTAGGTATACATTTGTATGTGCGTATGTACTTTTATCCAAGGCAAATGCTGGCATATGCTGTGAAATGTATGTATTTACATATATACATACGTTTGCATGTGCATATGTTTGTTGTATTGCACGTATGTGCATATGAATGCATGTACAATAGTTTAAAAATGTTTACTAGCATACATACACATTGTTTATATTGTATTATCGCTGCCTGTTGAATTTTTTCTTGCCGCCAAACAACCAAATTTAACGGCTGGTAGATAAATTTTAATGAATAAAATAAGCGCTAAATTATGGTGGAGTATTATTTCAAATTTTGTTTGTCAAAATATGTAGTGCATAAAAAAAATTTAAATTAAAGAAGAAAGTTTTAGGCAAGACAAATTCCCACACGGTAGTTGCAAGCATACAAAAACAATAAACCTGCTATGTATTTTGTTTGTGTAATTATAGTGTCGAAAAGTGAAAAATGAAATTCGCTAAATTTATTTATTTTATTTTTGTAAGTCCGAGTTTACACGGGGTAATATTTGTCGACGAAAACACTCGTTTGCAGGGGAGGGGACGACGATTTTGGCATTCTCTTTTATTTTGTTTTCCACTCAAATTGTCTCAAATTTCAAACGAATAAATGTTGTAAGTTTGGAAATTGAAATTTGAGTTTTTACTACAATATTTATATCTGCATGCCCAGATAATGGAGTTTGCAGATAAAGTTAATTAAAGCAAGAAATATTAAAATGGATAGAAGAAGTCTTTGGGATTAACTCTGATGATACCTTCTATAAATTCTCCTTGGCTCTGGGAAAAAAGTATAAATTTTTTATTCAAAGTGTTCGAAAAAGCTCGAATTGCTCTAGCTCAATCTCGAAAATTTTCGAACAATGAACAACGAACGAGTGTGCAAGTACTCGTTGCTCAAATGCTCGCGCAGCTCGAAAATATCGAAATAGTAGCGATAATACAAAAACAATAAGCGTATGTATTTTGTTTGTATAATCGTTTATCTACTTTTAATAATTTAATACATAATCTTTTGCTGCAAAATATTATTTTTCTGAAATTAATTTGAAGTTTTCTCTAAAATAATTGCGTTTTTTTTTTAACTAAAACCTGCTACGCATTTAGGGGATAGGCATTTTATGTTCCTAGCAAACTTCTAATTATGTTAAAAAAATTTGATACGAAATCAAGATCTTTAATTATTTTTTATAAATAATATTTAGTTTTTTTTTTGTTTTTGTGAAAGTCAAATTTGTAAATAAGTCGATTTTACTAGTAAGCGCTCATTTGCTCAACGTTTGCCGGGTTTCTCCACGAAAAATAAAAGATAATTGGAGATTGTTTTTGATTTATTGCAAACATCCGTCTTCGTACAGGTCCCGAAAGTAGTGGAGTAGGTTCTCCCTACAATATTGCCAGAGAGAGCCACAGCTAAATAAGAATATATCCGTAAGGGCAGGTAAAAGAGGCTCGCCATG